TTTTTACCGGGCTGACCAAGCCGTCGTACCGGGCTGGGTAATAAGAGAAAATAAAGGGGGGAGAGGGAAGGAAAGAGAAAGAAGAGGAAAAGAAAAGGAAAGAAAAAGAAAAAGAGAAGAGAAAAAAAAAAAGACAAGAATAAAAAGGAAGATATCATAATGACCAAACTCACAACACCCTGAAACCCCTTCTCCACTTCAAAAAACTCCTTAGATCTATGCTGCCCGATGGCGTAACCAATGGGGGACAAGGGAAAATATCTTTCTTTGAAAATCTTCCCCACCCCTTTATAAATGTCCTTTTCATGCACTGAAAGTGCCTAAAAACCTTAAATTTCTTGTTATCATGGGCCAATTTCCTCTAAAAATTGCACATTTATGGAGTTTTGAACAATTCCAACGAAATAAGAATTAAAAACACCGGGGGACAAGAGGAAAATATCCATCTTTGGAAAATCTTTCCCCACCCTTTGACAAATGCATCCTCTGAAAGTGCCTAAAATTCTCAAATGTGCATTTCTTGTTACGGTAGGCCAATTTCCTCTATAATTTGCACATTTTAGGAAGTTTTCATCAATTCCAGCGAAATTAGAATTAAAAAGACAAAAATATTTTGCGCGCTTCGCGCGCATATTTTAGGGCTTTTTTAGGTTTATCCTTTTAAGTTATTTAAACACATAATAGTTCCAAACTCAAGAAAGACAAATTTAAGATAGATCGTTTTAACCCAAAAGAAGGGCCTCAATGTGTATTGATGGTGAAAGAATATGTTGTAATAAATAAAACCTTGATGAAAATGCTTATATTTAGTTTTAAACACACGTGTGTGGCCTATATTGTAAATAAGATAAGCCCTATGTCGTATTGTTTTCTATATGGGGAGTGGGGTGGGTATGGTAAATTACTAACCGGGAAAATAAATACCAACTCTGACCCAAGACCCTGTTACGCGCCTGGTGTTAGCGCCAATGTGTGCCCTTGTGCGGACAGGGGATGTACCCCCTCTGAAGCTGGAAACCTTGTTTTTGCAAAATATGCAATTTGCTATTACAGTATAGGCCTAATCAATAAATTCCTCATCAATCGATATAACCTTAAACATCGGAATTGACATAACATTACTGATGTCGTACACACCCTTCAGTGGCTCTCTTTGCAAGCACATCTAACATCTAAGGAAAGAATAGCTTAGATTGGTACCAGATAAAATAATGTTGTTATCAACATTAAATTATGCTCATTTTCATCTTTGTAAGCGCATAAGACAGTGCAAATTATTTCTGTGACAGTTTTTTGAAGTGTGTAAAGCTCCATTTTATCCCATACATAGTCAAAATATGGGGGGTCCCCCCCCCTTGTCAAATATTGGGGGGATATATCCCCCTGTCCCCCCCCGGACCTACGCCTATGACTTGCTCTTTTCCAAAGAGTGTACTGCGTTCATTAACATTCACATGGGCCATTTTGCACACAGGGCCAATGGCTTAAACATCTCATCTAAAAGACGGTGCGTTTTTTCATTTGCATTTCAGCCCTCCGGCCGAACCGGACACCAAAAGAACTCCATGGTTCAGCAAACACACATTGGCTACCACCAGTTAAACCGACTAGCTAGCTGATCTGCTGTTATTTTTGCTTTTTAAATGTGCTATATTGCTTTATTATGTTTTGAAAATGTTTCTATTTTGCACATTATATGGTAGAACTTCATAAGGCAGAACTTTTTTAACACCTCGTTTCACGAACTTATTTTTTTTTGCAGGTCGTCAGAGGGCGAAAATTTTTTTTTTGCTCTTTTATTTACCAAATAGATTTGCCAAAAACATCTAAATTAAGGAGAAAATACAAATTTAATTTTATTTGTGAATGTAAACAGTGTAATAATGGGATGGATAAATGCTTTAAATTTATATAATTAGGAAGAAATATACATTTTTGGAGATTTCAAGGCAGCATCGGGCATAATAAAAATAAAGAAAAATCTTTTTTCTGGAATTTTCAATTTTTCGTGGGAGCAGGTGCGCTAATTGGCCCAAAACAAATTTTGTTTTTATTCGAGATCATTTGGGTGGTGTATTTGGGCGGGGGGAGGGGGTGCTGCCGATCCTCCAATTTTTTTAAATTATGAAAAAAACATGAGGAAAAAAAAATATATATAATCAAATAGCTTCCATTTCAGGATCAAGGGGTGACATAACCACACATCATCTTACCAGACCAACCTCGGTGGGGATGAGGTGGTCTAGACAATTTTCAATTTTTCGTGGGAGCAGGTGCGCTAATTGGCCCAAAACAAATTTTGTTTTTATTCGAGATCATTTGGGTGGTGTATTTGGGCGGGGGGGGGGGGGTGCTGCCGATCCTCCAATTTTTTTAAATTATGAAAAAACATGGAGAAAAAAAAATATAATCAAATAGCTTCCATTTCAGGATCAAGGGGTGACATAACCACACATCATCTTACCAGCCCCAACCTCGGTGGGGATGAGGTGGTCTAGACTCTCCATCTGTAAAATTCCCTCCCTGGGCCCCTCTATTTCAAATACCTGGATCTGCCACTGAGTACACTCCCACCTTGACGAATTTATATGTTGCATGGAGGACGTCCATGATTTTTGTATTTGATAAAGGAATTCTGAATGTGAATGATTTCTGAGTTTTTAACCAGACACTTGCCAATGTGTAATAAAGGTGTTGAAGATATGAAACATTTATTATTCATATGTATCGCCTAATTACCATAAGGATTGAAGAATATCATGTTTTAGAAAATAAGTTAGTTAATATTGATTGCCTAAATGTATGGGAGTATCACCAGTGACCTCGGTCGGGGAGATGTGCATTGTGACTATATGATGTTCATGATAGGCCTATGCTGTATTTGATAAATTTTGCAAATCTGATGTTAAGACAGGAAGGGTTTACTCTGTTGCGCATGATTGTTGGGGGACCGGATGATAAAATCATTATTCTATACAGTACTGCGTGCTCTTTCTATGAAGAGAAATGAAGATCTTGGGTGTTGTTCGCTGTTCCGACTGTTAACTTTTTACACGTCGTATGGCTTATAGTGACAAGTCTCTCTTTGGTAGCAGCTGTGGGGGACGGGGGGTTGCATTCTTGGTTGTAACAGCCCTTTTGCCATCATGTATTTGGCTGATCGGAGTCTCTGGTACTGATTTTTTATTTTTTTTAGTTTAAGATGATTCAAAAGTGCATATCCAAATAAATTATTGTATTATAATTAATGATTGCGGTACACCACGTAGATAGTTCTGAAAAGAACTGTTGTTTTTATTGAGATTATTCTCAACAAAAACAGTTCTTTTCAGAACAATCTACGTAGTGTATCGAAAGCATTATGATTACTTTGGCATGCAAAGTCGGGGCGGATACAGTAGTAGGGGGAAATCCCCCCGCCCCATTCTGCCACTAAATTTTAAAATTTCAAGGCATATATTGAAATTGGCGCTCTCACTTATCTATTCTGAATAGGCTGATCGGAGTCTCTGGTACTGATGTTTTTTTTTTTAGTTTAAGATGATTTGATTTTCTTGTTGTTTTGATGTCTTTCATTTTGATTGTAATGGTTAATTTTTTCTTGTTTTTGGATGCACCGCCCTTGTGGTTGTGTGCTGCTGATTCAAAAGTGCATATCCAAATAAATTATTGTATTATAATTAATGATTGCGGTACACCACGTAGATAGTTCTGAAAAGAACTGTTGTTTTTATTGAGATTATTCTCAACAAAAACAGTTCTTTTCAGGACAATCTACGTAGTGTATAGAAAGCATTATGATTACTTTGGCATGCAAAGTCGGGGCGGATACAGAGGGGGAAATCCCCACGCCCCATTCTGCCACTAAATTTTAAAATTTCAAGGCATATTTTGAAATTGGCGCTCTCAATTATCTATTCTGAATAGGTTGTCCCCCCCCCCCCACCCCCCGTTTGAACAATTCTGGATCCGCCCCTAAAACTTTTAAACAATATTCAACCAGATCTTATTAATATAAAGTACGTCTAAAAATGGAGGAATATATGGTGTAAACTAGGTGTTTGCAATGTTTTCACTCCTTCTCAGTCTACCATAATGGCCAAGATGTAACTCAGTCACTTCTGAGATTATTTCTTTTCTGGTTTATTGATACCATAAGTATAGACTTCAGCCCAGTCGTGATGCTTGCCAGTTTAATAGTGTAAAAGGTGGTCAGCCATGATTCCTCACATCTGATATACGGTACAGTTGAACTTTCCCAAGTCAATTCAAAATGCCATTGAAATATTGTCGACTTAGATAAAATTCGACTTACGGATTGTTAATTGATGGAAAACACAACAATTAGGCATGTAAAATTAGATCGACTTAGGCACGTTTAACTGTACATAAATCAATACTATCTTTAGCTATTCCATGTCTATCTGTCTGACTCTCTGTTCCCTTCTCACTCACTCAGGTCTCTTTTGGTACTACCAGACGATACAGAAACAATAATTAAAACTTTCATCAAAATTTAATACAAATACAAACCTTTCATAATTACAATCAAAATAGGGTCATGATACACCTCTACTTGCCTATTACTGTACATAGATATTGTAATACTGTGTGTTTTGTACTGTATAATGCTAAACTACTATTATACTGTAATATAAAACAAGCACAAGTTTTGAAAGATAAATGCAAGTAATTACATAAAAACAATATCCGAAAAAATATGTTCCGGACTACTGCAGAACACAACCATCAAAATCACGATCATTATCAGAATCATCAGAATCAGAGTATCGTTCTTGGCACTCGCAAAGGATGTTCCCTTGCCCAGCATAAAAATGTTTACCACATGACTTGCAGTGCTCCATGCGGTAGTCACCAAGGCACTTGCTGAAGCCTGGACAATATGTGCAGTGGTTGGTAGCTTTGCCATTGTCAAAGTGTGCATTATTGTCGCACATGCGAGTCACGTACATGCCCATACAGCCCTGTTCTTCTTCGTTAGGGCATCTTATAGGACCATCTTCACCATAGTCATATCCAGGATGATCTGGTTGGTAGAGGAGGTCGCGGATAGTCGCTTTCACATCACCATGACAGTTCTCGCAGCTATCCTCAAGGACAACATTATCTAAAGGACTATCACCGCTGATGTCAATGTAACCCTTCTGGATTGCTGAACGAAGGCATTTGTTGACAGATTCAATGTCTTTCACACCTTGTTTCTCAAGCCATTTGTTGACCGACTTTGCCGATGTTCTGGTTCTGGTCTTTGGTTTCTCCTTCTCCATGCCACATAGACGCATCAGCAGTTGGCTTTTTGTTCCAGACACCTTCATATTAGCATCTCGACACATCTCCTTCAATTCACGATTTGGTAGCATCATGAGTGATTTAAGTTTCGAATGCGACATCTTGCGATTTGCTATAGTAAAAATAAAATTATGAATGCTTGTGAACCTCAAGTTTAAAAAAAAATTACATTTTTAATTATTTACCACAGATAGCTTGCCAGAAAGCAACCATTTTAAATTAATAAGAATGAAAATTAATTATTACGCCCCTGCTCTTGTCTGCACCTTAAATTTGGGTGAATATAATTAACTCAAAAAGAACAAAACAACCCACAATTTTGCAATGCTTTTCAGGTATCATTGATGACTAATCTGTAAATATTAAAATGTTATTGATGCTTTTTTTTATCCGTAGTCAAATTCTCTTCTTATTTGTAAAATATGTTTGTTAGGAAAATGTACAGTAAAATAATGTGGTATTTAATGTGCGATTGAATTTTAATTAATCTTAGATAAAATTTACTTTTGAAAACAAAGATGATGTGATGTTGTACAGTCATTCAGCAGCACCTACATACAGGGAGAGCATAGGGGTGGCAGGAATGGAGTACATAACACACCCTAAAAATTGTCCACTGTAAACTTTACATGCCAATACAGTATATGAAACATATTGTAAGGCCAAATAAAAAAATTAGGGGTGGTCGACCAATCAGCGCGTTGGGATCACTTTGGCGTAAGCATAGTCACAGTGTGTTGGACAATGGGCATCAGAGTTCGATATTAATACTGTTTTAATCAATTATCAAATTAATGTATATTTTCTTTCATAACTTATATATAGGCCTAGCCTATATAAATCGAGACTTAATATTTAGTTAGTTTGTTTATTTATTATATCAAATATTATGATTTATAGTAGGCCTATGTCTATTTTCTTACAGAAATGGATGGTACTTTTTAAATCACTTCTTTAGTTTATTTATTCGAATTTCACTAACTTGTGTTCAGTTTGTTCTTTAGTGAATGAACATCTGTTTGTCATTGCATTTGAAGATGATTGATAATAATAATAATAATAATAATAATAATAATAATAATAATAATAATAATAATAATTAATTAATAATAATGACAATGTACAGTATCACTAAGTGTAGACCTGTTTTTCACGTTCATCAAATTTTATTACATTACGATATGAACGCTATTGACCAACGCTATACCGTACTGTATCCCAATCAATCGGTATAGCACTACTGGCGTTCCATACATTTTGAGCGCGGCCGCTTTCCCACGCGGCCGCTACGACCCTAATCCCCATTTTAAAAATCAATCTACAGTATCGGTAATCCATGAATCCCTGTTGGATCAGCTTACGACACAACTTGGATTGCATAGACTACAAACTTTAGCACAACATAAACACTGAAAGCATCATCATATATTTGTACTTTTTAACATCAAGTAAATCAAAATAAAGAAATTGTTTCAAAAATTAAATTTACAATTTCATCGAGAAAACAAAGTGTTAAAAATTAATTTTCAATAGCCCTACAACAAATATTACACCTGATTGGTGAAACCATTGTTTGAATTCATTTAAAATTAAATATTGATTATGATTACGATTTCATTGACAATATTTCTTTTTGCTATTTTTTTTGTAACTTACAGTACTGTAAAATTTTATATTTTGGTTAAAAATTCAGGTTCAAGTATATATATTTTTTATTATTCACCTACCTGCTGTGAATACAGATCATTTCGGTCGCGCTTCGTTTCGGTCGCGCTTCGTTTCGGTCGCGCTTCATTTCGGTCGCGGCTTGTTTTCAACAAATATACGGAGCGCCAATGGGGTTTCGAAACGCTAAATTTAATATAACAAGGCCTAATTATCATTGCAAGTTCGTCAATCGGTTTATCATACTTTTTAAATTTATATTTTGTTGTATTTATAATAAGTAACAACATGCTACTTAAAAGCAAATAAAATTAATACTTTTATTACTTCGGACGGTTTTTATTTTGGCCGATGCTATGCTTACGCCGATGTATTCTAAATCCCAACGTGCTGATTGGTCGGCTTGTCTTTACCCTAACCTTAAAACATAACTCGGGCTATCTTAAAGCACTACACATCGGCGTAAGCATAGACACTGTGTTTTATTTTCGTTTTGTTATGAATCCTACGCTTTCTACTGCATAACAAATACAGCAAATAAAATAAATATTAAAATATGATATGATGTTATATATATTATTATTATTATTATTAATATTATTATTATCATTACTATTATTATTATTATTATTATTATTATTATTTCTGGAAAAAATAGCCAATTTGTCATTTAAATTACTGTAACATTAGTTTATTAACAATTATTTTTATTAGTATTAAAGTTTGTTATTGTTACTATATTACTGTATAACTTGGTGCTATTTTTCTTTTTTTACAGAAACAACGCAGATGTTACGAAGTTGACCGAGTTTGAGATACGTTTTTTTTTTGGTTCTTGCTATATATATTGATATAATTTTTATTAATGCTTGAATCAAATAAAAATCTATTGAATAAGTATAGTCAATAGATTAGTTTCGCATACGTTTTTTTTTTCTTGTCTGTTACGTTTCCATTTACCATAAATGTTATCATGTTATAATAATATTGTAAAGGAAATATGTATTTCCATATTTATATTTTCCATATAAAATTATCAATACATTGATAATTGCATGCGGTACATTTTATATTCATAAGCCCGAGAAAATCACTCAACTTGCTAGGCCTATTTCTTTAGTTGCATAAGTGGAGTATAATTGTAGAAAGAAACGTTTCCATATATTTATTGCCATGGTACTCTTAAGGCGAAAATGACACAAGGTTTGTGATTTCTTGTTTGTTTTATTTCCATTTTTGTTACATTATTGCAAAGACAGAATTAGGTCAGATGCTAAAATAGACGACTAGCTATTTCTAGGTACAAACACGTACGCTGAAGCGCAGTTCACCACTTCACATGTGT